AGAGTTTGATTTTTATAACAACACACACTTAATCACCCTTCAGAAGTCTTTGTGTTTTTAAATAGTTTGCAAATGTATCATGGACTTTTTCTGCCAATGTTGTATATCTATTGTTTCTCCGATGTTTATGTAGGGGAGCACTTTGAAGCCCATTGAAGCGCACTTCTCGGTATACAGGATCATTTTCCCCATCTTTGTCTCTTATTACATTATGGAGAACACAAGTACATTTTATGATTGCTATAGCATTAGGTACTGATGTTTCAATGTCCTTTCCCAAAATACGCCATTTCGCATACAGGATACCAAACGCACATTCTATGCACCTACGAGCTCGTGACAGACGATAGTTGAAAGCGGTTTTTGCTGGTGTTAAATTTTTTCGAGCATATGGCTTAAGTAGGTAGAGTTTTAGTGGATATGCCTCATCAGCTATGAGAACATTAGGAAGTTTTTCTGAAGACATAGGTAGTTCGCAGTCTGGAGGCATATTGAAATTCTTGCTTTCGAGACTTGCGCAAAGTGATGAAGCAGCAAACGTACCACCATCATTCTGACTGCCTTTCGCTCCAACGTCAATTGTTATGAATTTGTACTCTGGATCGGAAACACCTTGAAGGACAACTGAGAAAAACTTCTTATAGTTAAAGATAGATAAAGATCAGATACTGGAGAAAAATGGGGTTGTCAATGAGACAGTACATCAGCTATCAAGAAAACCTATAATTCAGTTAGGAGGGAAGTATTGTATAATATTCTCATAGAGTTTGGGGCAACCATGAAACTAGTTAGGCTGATTAAAATGTGTTTAAATGAAACATATAGTAGAGTCCGTATAGGTAAACATTTGTCTGATAATTTTCTTATCCAGAATGATCTAAAATAAGGATATTTTTTTTATTGCCACTGCTTTTCAACTTTGCTTTAGAATTTCTGTATGTATAATATAAACTCTGTCATATATGCAACACTTTATTGTAGTTCTTGTCCCCCTTCTTTCACACTACATGTCGGCCGTAACCTGCCGAAACGTTGCAGGATGCTATAGCCCAAAAAAATGGTACTTCTAGAAGAACAAAAGGTGGATCTTCTGAAAAATGATACAATTAAACAGAACGAAGACTATCATTTTCTTATGAGTTTATTGCCTCATTTCAAAGACATGTCGCCTTTGGAAAAACTGACGGTGCGCAATAAAATAACTCAGGTACTGATCGATGCAAAAACCTCCATCTCTACTGAAACATTACAAGGAAGCTTTGGAACGTACAATGACACACAGGAAGGGCAGAGCACGTCCGGTTATGAGTTCCAAACCCAACAGTGGTAATGAACATGCTGAGTTAAAAAATTTAAAAATGATGCAAAGAACATTGATGAGCAATATTTTTTAATAAACTCTAATTTTTGCTTGAGAAATTGTAGTAAATTCTTTTGTAATACCACACCAAATAATACCTTTACAACTACGCTTCTAACAGGCGGGGAAGTAGAAACAATCTTACCTGATAGTCACAAGTAGCCTCTCTTCTGCGCAGATGGGTTTCCTCCAGTTTGTTGTTTGTTTCTCCAAAACATCCTGGGCTTTACTGAGGATGTAATCAAATGTAGATATTGACATCCTTGTAGTGCTCGAACCTCATGCCAGAGTTTGTTGAACGCAAATAATTATGTAGAATGCATGCGGCCTTTACAATAGATATTGTAGTTTCCACTTTCACCTGAATTGGCCTAAGAAATATCCTCCACTTTTGAGCTAAAATTCCGAACGCATTTTCTACAACACGTCGAGCTCGACATAGTCGCTTATTGTAGATCTCCTTTCTGTAGTCCTCTCTTGATTGTCTGTATGGAAAGAGGCGCATTATATTTGGGCGTAGAGGAAATGCTTCGTTGCCTATTAACACACAAGGAGTAAGTTCATTCTGACTAGGCAAGGACCTGTCTGCTGGAATACTGAATGTTCCATCAGCTATCTTTCTCCCCATAGCCGACGCTTCAAAAATACCACCATCACTATTCTTTCCATAACCACCTACGTCTATACAAATAAATTTGTAATTGTGATCAACAATAGCCATTAAAACTATCGAATATTTTTTCAAATAGCTAAAATACTTTGAACCAGAATTATTTGGGCACTTTATGGTAATGTGTTTCCCATCGATGCTTCCAAGACAATTAGGAAACTGCCATGTTTCATTAAAACCTAATATTATTTCTTCCCACATTTCTTTTGTAGGTTCAGGCATGTAAGTAGGCTGCAAACGTTTCCAAATTGCGTCACACACTTCCTTAACAATATCACTAACTGTAGAAAATCCCATCCGAAAGCTGTGGCCTATTGTGGTATAAGAGTCACCAGTTGCTAGAAACCTGAAACAGAAAATATAAACGAAAACATTTTTTTCTCTTACGTGATATCTGCTTGTGTGCTTTTCAGGTCAGGAGGTGAAGAAGAAGTGGAAGAACCTAAGGGATTGCTATGCTAAACACCTAAGAGCTGAGAAGACGCGTACAGGGCAAGCAGCAAACACTCTGAATAAATATAAAACTTGGCCATGGGCCCAGCAGATGTCATTTTTCAGCCCTTTTCTACAGTTTGCAAGTACAGAGTCAAATATATCCAGCCCAGATTCTGTAGTTAATTCTGAAGTAGCTGAATCTGAATCCATTCTGACTAAAGAAAATGAAGGCACTCAACAGGCTGAAGTCATATCATCACATCTTCAGACTGGACGAGGAAAGTTTTTCCAGACCAGCATATCATCTATCCTCTCGTATTCGAAAAAGGAAGCATGGTGGAGAAACATCTCCCCAGCCTTCTTCTTCAGTAGGACAAATATTGAATTATTTGGAAAGTAGATCGATCGAAAACTCAGCCTATGATGATGTTGATTTACTCTGTATGGGATACGCCAAAACCATAAAAAATTCTCACCACGATGGCAAGCAGTAGTGAAATTTAAAACTGCAGAAATATTAATGCAAGAGGAACTGGCACAACAAATGGAAGATGCTACCAGAGCAAATTCTCACTGCAGTACGCCCACTCCAGAACCTTCAATTTATGATTCAATATCACCAGGTAGCTCACACTATACGCCTAGTCCAGGAGTAAATTTGCACTGCAGTACTCCTAGTCCAGGACCTTCAAGATCAGAAAGTTACTCAAAGTATAGCTCCGAAAGTGACATACCTTCGCAGAGCATAGATCTTGAAAATACGAATACAGCTGCAAGCTGGCTTCAAGTGTTTGGAAAGACATTGTAAATTTCTTTTCTAAGTGATATTTTTTTAACTTCTGTAACACATAAGATTTCTGAGAAATTGTTGAATTAAGTGGGAAGTTGTAATTTTGTCACGTATTCTTTAATTAATTATTAGATTGAATAAATGTCATAGTTGTTTGTCTGAAATAAATTTTTTTTTTTTCTAATGAAAACCCTCTGTGCACCTCCTTACCTCAAGGCAACTGCCAGGCGTTCCACGGGTTCAATAGGCCTCCTGTAGTTCGTACATTCCTTCTTTATATCTCCCTTAATTAGGTCCAGTAGATCATCAAAGCATTCAATTGGCATCCGAAAGTAAATATAGAACCGTTCTTCATGCTGTCGCAGTTGCCGATATAAAGTATGAAATTCTCCTTCATGTTCACGAAGCAGATTAAGGTCGTGAATCCACGTTTTCCTACGCTTCTTTCTGAAAAATATATTAACATATATTAATTGTGATGTTAATATTTGTAATAACTTCTCAAATATCTCCAATTGTACATAATAATAAAAGGAATAATTACCTTGCTTGCTGCTGCTCCTCATCATCAACTACAGCTGCTAAAAGTATTGCTTCTTCTTCCAGACGTGATAATCGATGCATCATTTACGATGTTGTGCTTACGCGATTTTTCAAACTGATCGCTACCGCCGCGTCGTTGGTGTGGAAAGACTTTATCGCCACCGTGATCGCGCCCGCCACCGCCACCGCGATCGCTCTGGTGTGTGGAAGCCTTTTATCGCCACCGTGATCACCGCGATCGCCCTAGTGTGTGGAAGCCTTTATGTGTGCGGCACGCTCGCTTGAAACCTTGAAACTGCCCCGCCTTGCCCCGCCCCGCCGCTGTCTGTGTGTACGTACACTTACTTACACGTACTTACTCGGTCTACTCCGTCTACTCGGTGGAAATGACTGGTTATTGGTACGATATGTACCACGGATCAGAACGATCAGAATTCCGTAATATTAATCGACGTAATTGTAAAGTCGTTGCTACTTAATTATGATTTTATGCTCCTATCCAGAGGCGGGTAATTTTACTAATTTTTAACTAAAGCCTACTATATTACCAGGATTAAGTATTTAGGTCCTTTCCGAATATATTTTAGCACGGGATTATTACGTAGGATGGTAGGCCGTGTGCATACATGTTTCGAACTTCGTATATTACATGCCGAGGTTGGTTGTCATGTTAATCAAGGTCGGGTGTGTAAGTAGTGGTTTTAGTCGGGTTTCATTGTATTGGTCGCCGTTGTATAGCATTTACTATTGAGGACTTAGCACAAATTTCATTGTAGACCACCACAGCAGCCTCAAAACAGCACTGTTTAGGTTAGAAATTTTCTGAGGAAAGATACTGTCCGTTATATCATGCAGTTTTCTGTTGTACTCAAGAGTGCAGTCTTGAGAAATATTGCAAAAAAAACATGCAAGTCAGCGGTTCTAAAGGACTCTGTACGAAACATTGGTACAAGTTCCCTGAGACATAGTTCGTTTAAAGTACAAGACCAAAAGGATTTTCAAGAAAGGGTGAAGAACAGTAAGGTTCCCGTCATCGTAGATTTCTTTGCTACGTACGTTTTATGTCATTTATCATAGTATCAGCATTAACTAAAAGTGTGTGCCGAAGTAAATACTTCACAAAACGTTCAGTAACGATCAACTGGTGTTTTAACATACTAATACAGTTTTATTTTAATCATTTTTCTCTATTACAGATGGTGCAATCCATGTAGGATGCTGGCACCACGTCTTGAATCTGTTATTGCAGAAAAGAAAGGGGAAGTCATCCTGGCAAAAGTAGATATTGATGAAAACACAGACTTAGCTTTAGATTATGAGGTATTACTGCAGGAGTAGAGCAGTCAAAACATTTTTTTCATATGAAAAGTTCTATTGCTTTTGCATTTCAAGTAACTTTCTGAATATAGTATAATTTTAAGTATGCATTTTCAATAGTGCACAGTGCTGCAAGGGGACTTTTTTTTTGTCACAATGAATTTTGCACTGCAGACTGCCATTCTATGTCACTGTTAAAATGGATTTCACAAAGTGCAGCTTTTATGGGTGTAAATGTATGATGCAGTGCAATCTTCAGAGAGTACCTGAAAATCATTCATCCAGTCAGGTAACAAAGCAGATGATCCTCACATCAACTTAGACATCATGGATTCATACTAGTAGTGGACTTGATAAACCAAGAACCTATTACTAATTTACTTACCCATGTAGCTGAGCCCTTCTGGAGGAGCCACCAATTCTGCAGCTATTCAAGAAATTTCCAGCATTTTATGGAACCCGAAGGTTCATTACTGTGTTCACAAGAGCCCTCCACTGGTCCCTATCCTGAGCCAGACCAATCCAATCCATGCCATCCCATCCTATCTTTCTAAGATCCATTTTAATATTGTCTGCCCACCTATGCCTTGGTCTTCCCAGTAGTCTCTTTCCTTCTGGCCTTCCCACCAATATCCTATATGCATTCCTCGTCTCCCCAGTTCGTGCTACATGCCCTGCCCACCTCATCCTCCTTGACTTGATCATTCTAATTATACTTGGAGAAGAGTACAAGTTATGAAGGTCCTCATTGTGCAGTTTTCTTGAATCTCCTGTCACTTCATCTCTCTTCGGCCCAAATATTCTCCTCAACACCCTGTTCTCAAACACCCCCAGTCTATGTTTCTCCCTTAATATCAGAGACCAAGGTTCACACCCACAAGTTAGTGATTCCTGATGTCACGTGTGTGACATAGTAACTCTGTTCTCAGATCTTCACTTAACTCCAAATGTAATCTGAAACACTGTGGTAGTAGAACAGAGTTTTCAGATGAAAACATATGCCTTGCCGACATGTAACTGTTACTCTTTTGAGGTGAACAGTACTGACATCGGCGTTGGCCAGTGATATGTCAAGGTGGACCGGGCTGAGCAGATCGCCTGTGTGGTCTAGTGGTCAGAGTTTTGCCTATAGATCCAGAGGTCCTGGGTTCGATTCCTGGCGCTACCAGATATTCTGAGAAGTAGTATGTCTGGAATGGGGTCCACTCAGCCTTGTAAGGATAACTGAGGAGCTGTTTCAAGGAAATGGCAGCTCCAGTGTAGAAAACCGAGATTAATGGCTATGGGGATCCATTGCGCCGACCATGTGACACCCTCTATCTGCAAAAGTTTGTGCTAACTTTGCCGACAAGTAGCAGTCATTCGATTGGTATAGTTCGCTTGTGGATTACAGGTCATGGAGTTTGTTTTGGTCAGGGTTGAGCACTGATATGAGGAGCCATTAAATCACTGCTGGACCCTAGACCTTGCCTAAAACATTTTCTTTACAAATTCTCCAGTTCAGAGTGTTCTGTTGCTAGAGTTATGCTGTGGTGTAAAATAATATAAATTAATGTGATCAAAAGTGAAGGAAGTATGGGTACATTTATGATACATAAACAATGACAATGGCACAGTTCAGATATTTGGGAACAACGATAACAAATCGGAACCTGATTCAGGAAGAAATTAAGGGCAGACTGAACTTGGGTAATGCTTGCTACCATTCAGTCCAGGACCTTTTGTCTTCTTGTCTTATGTCCAAAAACATAAAAATTAGAATATACAAAACTATAATTTGGCTTGTGGTTCTGTATGGGTGTGAAACTTTGTCTCTGACATTAAGGGAGGAGCATAGACTGAGGGTGTTTGAGAACAGGGTGTTGAGAATAATGCTGTATTTTAGTGTCCTGTTGCAGCCAAAAAGGAAGGACACATCACAGACACAGTACACACAGAAACAACTCCCATAGTGGACGAACCATACTGTACGCGAGTTTGAATTAAGACATATAGATGAATAATCTTAACAAGTTTTAGTATATACAGATTTTATTATAGTTGACAAATAATGTACTTTCTAAATAATTTTATGAAAGACACAAGATGGCAAACAGTGTAATAGCTTAGCGTAAATAATGAACCTGAAGATGGCACTATGTTGCCGAAACATGTAGTAAGAAGCGACATATGAAATTGAGTGCATTACAAGACGGCCATTACATACATATCATGGGTGTTGAGAATATTTGGACCAACCGAAGGAGATGAAGTGACAGGAGGTTGGAGAAAACTGCATAATGAGGAGCTTCATAACTTGTACTCTTCTCCAAGTAATAATTAGAATGACGAAGTCGATGATGAGGTTGGCAGGGCAAGTAGCATGAATGGGAGAAGAGAAATGCATACAAAATATTGGTGGGGAAGCCAGAAGGAAAGAAGGTGTAGGTGGGAGGACAATATTAAAATGGATCTTTGAGAGACAGGATGGGATACATGGATTGGATTGGTCTGGCTGAGGGTAGGGATCGCCGGAGGGCTCTTGTGAACATGGTTATGAACTTTCGGGTTCCATAAAATGCTGGAAAATGCTCCTCAAGAAGGGCCAAGCTCCATGAGTAAGTAAACAGAGACTATAATCAGATGTTTAATCACAATATACCTTTGCTAAAACATACTTATATTTTGTTTACAGGTGAGTTCTGTGCCTGTCCTGGTTGCAATTAAGAATGGGAAAGTGGCAGACCGAATGGTTGGGTTACAGGATACTGATCAGCTTAGGAAGTTTGTGGACAGAGTAATTGGTTAACATTGTACTAGTGACTCCATTTCAACCAGTGATGAGGACCTTATTAGAAATTTATAAATATCTTTTTTTTTTTAGCATGGCTGAATAAGTTGGAGTAACCAAGCAGTGTTGCTTACATTATAACCTTCTTGTACAGCATGTTTAAAATTAAAATATCTTATACACTTTAATTTTGATTAAATGTGAAATATGGGGAAGATGTGTTTCATTCACTAAGTGTTTTTTTAAACTTCACTATTATACAAATAAAGTACATGTAGTGTTATGTAGCTTTAATAAAATGTGTGGCTTAAGAACTGCTTGATACAATTCATGGCAGTAAAACCACAAGCATTCAAAATATTGTAGCAGCCAAGAAAAAAATCATAAATGTGGAAATTGTCTCCCATAACAGTGCATGATTGTACATAATACATGTATATTAAAACGCAATAAACTTATACTAACTGAATTTTATATGTTCAGAAGTAATATATGACTTCAGCTTTTGGGGATATGCCACACAGGATGTTGGAAAGTTCTCAGGGTTAGTGTCTTTGGGGAGTTCTGGAAGCTCTTATATTGATCTGGCAGGGGGCAGTGAGTTGGTGTGGCAGCCATGACTGGATGACCCAAACAGCAGGGTGCTTTCCAATAGAGGGCAATCTCTGTGGCTGAGACAGTTGATTTTTTGAGGTCTGGTGGTCGGGAAAAGAGGTGATGAAAAAAAAAAGGCTCAGAATATGGCAACTGTAATGTCTGCCAAATGAAATACCTTCAACATTCTATGTGGTGTACTCCCAAAAGCCACGTCATACACTTAATTCCAGTTGCAAGAATTTAGATAAGATTCAGTGGACTATACCAAGATGATACCTGTGTGGATGTGGTACACTTAGTCTTGTGAATGTGTGGTCTGTAATTACATGCCTATACAAATTATTGAACCGATAAATGTTTATTACTACTGGAACACCTCAAAATTATACCGAAACAAAACATCGGTTTACTATAGTTACTTATGGAGCTGAGGCATTCTTGAGGAGCTGCCAATTCTGCAGCTACTCAAGAATTTCCCAGCATTTTATGGAACCTGAAGGTTCATTACCGTGTTCACATACCATGCCATATGTAAATCAAATATCAAAGTATACTAATGCCAGACTGTAGGATGAACTGCCTCTGTGCAAATGCATATATAAAAATTGGACAGTCCTCAAAACATCAACTTGCAACTAAAATTGTTATCCATCACTTTTCATTCTATTCCATGAAACAAACAGCTAAAATACTAATATGGAAGGTGGTAAACAGTTCTATAAATAAGCCTGTGTTAAAAAGAGGCAGTTGTCATTGTCTTAATAATACCAAGATAAATATAATAAAGGATTATTTTAATAGTCTTAAAGATGTAAAAGGTAGTTATTCCTTCACTTAAGCAAGCACCATGCCATGAAAACGTATGGAGGAGTGGAGGTATGACTTCACCATTCTTGGCCTTGGCACTAGATAGAGGAGAGTGGTTGGCTTCTCACCTCAGCCACTTTACCCCCAGGAAAAAGAGCACCTGTAAAGTTGTCTCTGTGCTTAACTAATTAAGCACTACACCATGAAAATGAATGGGGCAGTGGATGTATGGATCCACATTTTCTTGACCTCGGTATTAGTTGGAGGTAAGTGGTCATCTTCACGCCTTACTGCTTTACCTGCTGGGAAATAGCCCTGGTACCCGTTGAATAGGAGGCTGGGTGGGCCTCAGAGTCAGTCTGGACAACATGGAGAAAAGAAATTCTGACCCCTCTGATTGTCCAGCCCATAGCCTGTCACTATACAGACCGCAGTATCCTGGCTCCTAAACAGCCCTTATACTCATACACCTCATAAAGGAGGCTGGATGTTCCCCAGAGTAGGTCTGGACACAGTGGAGAAAAGATAAATTGAAACTAAACATCATTACAACAATATTAAGCTAAAATGCCTGCCACCAAAACAAAATCTAGAGTAATATCCAACAATAAAATTCGAAGACTAAAAGTTATGTTAATGAAATTATACAGCAGATTCAGATTGGAGTATTTAGGACACCTATCTCAGATCAGTGACAGAAAGGACTGAGAAATAGAAGTACAGTCAATCAATGACGTTATTAAGAGCCATTTTGGCCAACAGTATCAGAAACAATAATTAGAATATATAACATCACAACAAAAGCAACTTTGAAATAGGATACTGAGGCCTGGGTATTAATGAATGAGGACACTGAAAAGCATGAAGTAGAACAAAGGTTCTTCCTTGAGTATGTCAAAGTCTGATCCAACCTGAAGCAACAAAAGATGTTCCCTAAGGATAAGACAGTTACTTCCTCCCTTTGTCTGGTCTTAATAAGAGCTTCTTCCCACTTTACAGTGACCCTGGAAAAGTCTGTTTTTTTAAATTTCCTGTTTGGCATTCCTATTGACCTAGGGAGGTTTTGATCTATCTCCTATCTCCTCTGGTTCTCACTGACTCCCATCCATGTCTCCTTGTGTTTATATCTGGACAGCCCACTCTGACCATGAAGATGGAGACAGAATGCCCCTACAAGACCTTACTAACCACATATAAAATTCCACATGTCACATCTCAGAATACCATAACCTGAACACAGAATATATTTCTATGACTTTTCTAAGTGTTATAAGACTGGATAACAACAAAATACAGACAAAAGTTGTTTAAATACCATCACAAACTGAAGACTACCAACAAATTTGGTTATGGCAGCTACAGAGAATGACGGTGAAGTAAATACAAAAGCAGCAGGAGTAACAGTTGTTGGAATGAAGGAGATCCTGGACACCTAAGGACACAGGTAGGTAAGCCTGATCATTCAGTAAAAGGCAGTTTTCCCCGTGCTTAATTAAGCACCACACCATGAAGATGTATGAGGGAGTGGAGGTATAGCTCCATCATTCTTGACCTTGGCACTAGATTGAGGTGAGTGGTCAGCTTCATGTCCTGACCACTTTAGTCCGGGTATAAAGAGCCCTGCTATACCCATTGGATAGGAGGCTGTGTGGGCCCCAGAGCTGGTATGGACATTATGGAGTAGAGAAAAATCTCTTGCCCCTGCCAGGAATCGGCTATCCAGCTTGAACCCGCCATGACCAACTGAGCTTGACCAGACATGACAATAAAATATGAAAATTATATAACAGTGTATATTTGATATTCATGCAAACCAGATGAGATATGAACATGCTTTAGGTGGACTATATTTTAAGTAAAAATAGAATAACAAAAATTACTGATGATTTCTTCCATTTCATTGAGTCACATGTGAACTGTAATGTACTGCTGAGACATGTTACATACAGAATGCACATTAGTTAATGTTTCTTGAAGAAAGGCAAATATGAAGTAGCCAATCAGTGTCGACCACCACATATTTATTACTGTTAGAAGAAGAGTATACAGAGGAGCAGGCAATTGTGTGCAGTAACCGGTGAGGTGTTGCGAGGTCTTGAAAAGGGCTGTATCTCTAAGGCAGGGCGCATCTGATGAATGCTGGCAAAGCTTTGGCCACAGTGGCCTGGCTTGTGCTAGTGACAGCAGTCTTCCTTGCATCAACATCCAGGTAAATGCAAGCTGGTCGTAGGGTGGTAAGCACTGGCAGTGGACTTCCCAATAGGTCTAGGTGACTGCTAGTGGAGTTGGCTGATGGTGTGGCTACTAGGAGACCCACTGTTGCTGTGTGTGCTCCAGATGAACTGTCTTGAGGTAAGAGCAGCTCCAACCGACTTGCATGTCAGAGGTCCAGATCTTTATTCGCTGTCGCTAGCAATGCCCAACCCAGTGAGCATTGGTGCTGCTGTGGTCCGTGCTGATTAGCTAGCATTGTGGTAGGCTCCCATTCATAATTCATAATTTGAGAAATATGGTCACCTTTCTTGTTCTTTCACATCTGCTCTGGGCAGCTGTCAGTTTCCTGAATATGCACAGCATACTTATGTGATGAGAAAAGTGTGTTCATATTAATCTTAATATTATACAACTCTATATAACCTCAGCAAATGAGACATTATAAAATAATTCAGAAGCAGAATACTGTTGTTTACTTTAGAACACTGCAATCAAATTAGGAATGCATGTTGACATGTCAGCATAAAGTAGAACATTATAATATGACCTAAATTTAGATACTTTCACATTTTTTGTACTTTTTACAAATTCTCATTTCATATAAGGTTAATTATTTGATTCAATGAAAAAAGTACTACAAAAATCCCACTTGTAACCTACATCCATGAATAATGAAAGAACAAATGCCATTTGTACAGAAATGCTTTTATTAAGAAGACCCTCTTATTACACATCATCCAGAGATTGAAGAATTGATCTTGCTCGTTCATATACCACTTCTGGAACCTTTTCATCAGGAACTTGCTTAGCTATGTCCTCCTCTTTCAGACCTTCTTCTGATAATTTTGACCACAGTTCTACTGCTTTTATCACTTTCATGGTCTTCTCCACTACCATCTGCCTTGCATATCCTCGACTACCAGATATGTAGTCCACTAGAATTTGGAAGCTTGAATCTGGAACCTTAAGAACAGAAAAGTCTGATATATCTAGAAGTACTGGGAACTTCTACTCCTGTCCCTTCTAATATATACCACCTCTGGATCTAATGATTACACCAGGCATAAAACTGTGTTGTTTTTAGGTTTTTACATATTTTTTTTTAATTGTGTTCAGAAACTGGATTCACAGGAGGAATCCCTCCTCTTGTTCACATATGCATGAAATTCACAGACAAATAGCGACAATTATTTTACCTAATATTATGAAATAATGACATATAAATTGCACATAATATTTTCGGCAACAACTGTGACTTATTTACATTTATTCAAGAAAGAAAACAAGAAAAGGACAACTGCATTTCAATTTCCAGTAGCCAAATTGTTTAATGGAAGTCAGGATATAGCTCAGTCGATATAGTGATGGGCTACAGACTGGATGGCCAGCGTTCAATTCCTGGCAGGGAAAATACAAGGCTACTATAAATCATTAATTCGTTTTTAAAACGCTCTATTTTCCAGAGCATTATATGTACAAATATGATATTTATATATAAAGAACAGTAAACTCACTAAGTTTTCTTCACTCTACAAATGTTCTGTGTGTGCCCCTTGTGTCACATGACACACATCCAGGTGGTAGTCGAGCTCGTTTCACACATTTTGTAGCATCATCCTGTCAATGGTCATCACTGCAGCATCGATGCATTCCCTCAGCTCTACTAGTGTTCTTGACAGTGGGGGTATGTAAACACGATCCTTCATGTACCCCCAAACGAAGAAGTCACAAGGCGTTAGATCAGGTGATCTGGGGGGCCAAGTGAACAGAGCTACGTCATCCTCACCAACACACCCAATCCATCGCGTCCTTAAATTGCCTATACAACCGCAAAATGCTTTGTTTACATGGCGGTTCTTTTCCATACTCTTTTTTGAATGCGCGTTGCACTGCTATAACAGACGAACATCTCGCATATTCCAACAAACAAAAACTCTTTTCTTACTTTGTCAGCATTTTGTAAAGCCACTGAACTCGTGTTGCCAATTGGTGCATATAATACAAACTTGGTGAGTTTACGGTTCTTTTTATATATCAATTATATCTGTACGTGTAGTACTTTGGAAAATATAACGTTTTAAAAATGAATGAATCATTTATACTAACCCTGTATTTCGCTCTTCTTCAGTGTCCAGACTGGCTCTGGCACACACCCAGCCTATTTAATTGGCAATGGGGGCTCTTTCACCAGGGGTAAAGCGGTTAGGGTCTCAAACTGACCACTCACCTTCATCTAGCGCTGAGGTCAAGAATGGTGCAGCTATGCCTCCACTCCCCCATATGTCTTTATGGGATAGTGCATAATTATTTAAGAACAGGGACTTAACTTTTTCTGACCTTTAATAATTTCCAAAATAGAGTTAAAAGAATTCCTGCTGTTTATTTTATTACATAAACTCAGCCAAGTAAGACTCCAGATGGAGAACTACAGTACCTTGGACTTTCTTGTTGTACCACTTGCTCATCTCTTTGACATTTTTTTCAGCAATTTTGGTGTGCATACTGTTTGCTGGATTGATAAACTGTATTTGTGATTGACATTCAAATGCTTCAAAGCCATGTCCTTCAAATACTTCATCCTGTCTCCATTCACAATGCAAGATAACTGTTACACTGACAATTGTGGCCAAGCTGCATGCGGCAAAATACTGACAGATTATGCATGCATTAACATGATGGCAAATTTTGAAGTTACTTGGGTCACCCAGTAATATATAAGTACCACTTACATTATTACAACACCCAGAAAAAGGTACATTCATTGCTACCATGCCATAAAGACGTAGGGGAATTGTGGTATAGCTCCATGTATTCTTAATCTTGACACTGGAGATGAGTTGTCAACTCCATAACCTGGCTGCCTACTCATAGGCAAAGAGGCCTTAGTACCCAGTGGATAGAAAGATAGGTAAGCTCCACAGCCAGTCTGAATGTTGTGGAGAACAATTTCTTGCCTGTACCAAGAAATGAAATTCATTTCCTCAGTCATCCGGTTTGTAGCCTGTCACTGTACTTACTGAGGTGTCTGTGAAAGTAGCAGCACGCACACAACTGCTACTTAATTTGATTTCATGATTTAAAACTAACTACAACACAGGAAGTATACACAAATCACATACATCCTAACTGCTTTACAGTGAAATTAATGTGAGATTGGGCATGAACTAACAAAAGATAACATGTACAACTAAGATATCATCTCATTGTAACTTTATTTCTGAATTTTCATTATTTAATATACACGTTAACAAACACAAAATTTCACTTAATTCTTCAAGTAAAGTGCCAGTCAAATTGGATTAAATAATGCAAACTCATACATACTTCTGTACTAATTATTAGTCTCACACAAGGTTCATGAGTTTGAAGATGTGACTAACAGAGTTTGGTACACTGATAACAAGACATAACTTACATTAAGACGAGCATCATACTAAAAGATGCATGAACATGCAGCATGCCTAAATTTTTTTTTTGGGGTGGGGGGAATCTTTTGGAATGCTAACAAATACCCACATGAACAACAAAATACAATGAACCACAGATTTAAATGACTGAAAAAGGCCTTCCTCAATCATTCTCATAACACTCATACATAGACTATCTACCTAGATTAGATGAAGGCCATTAACCTTTAAACGCCGGACTTCGAAATAGTGGTAAACTTGAGCTGGCCGGAGTTTATTTAAAAGCCCGCTGCTGGTGCGCGTTTAAATGCCCGTTGCTCCCTTGCGTTTAAATGTCCGTTCCTGTTAGGCGGTTAATCAATTTTAAGCGTTGTTTAAAAATGCTGTATCTAGCAGAATTTTTATGATAAATGGATGGTATTAACTTTGTTTATATCAGCAAAGAACATAGCGTCGCATATTATAATGGAAGATTTGAAATTTTTAATACAAAGTGTTATACTCTATTTTCAATTTTTTGTGTTTTAATTTTGATGCATACTGCAAAAATTGTTTCCCATTTCTTCACAGAGTTGTTCTGCATTATAATTTCATTTCTTTTTGTAACACTTGACAAATTTTAGCAGTCCCTGGTGTCATAAAACAGATGGAAGCAATAAAATCATTTGGTCTTCTGCTAGCACTGCTTACACCCTTCGGATTTTCGAATCTTTGACTGAAGGTCAGAAGAATGAAAGAATGGCTATTCAAGAGAAAGCTAGAGGGGTCCCTTCTTCAGTGCTAAAACCTTCCGTTAGAACTGCAAAAGCTTATTGCCCCTTCTATTTGAGTGAACAGACAGCTGCATCGTGGCTGAGATACAGAGCGCGATCTGTTTTGTGTGCATTCGTAGTGAAATTGAATACGGTAGTTTTATTTGAAACTGTATATACATCAAGCAGGTAACAACAAAAGAGGTATGTACATCAAATTTTACAATATATTTTTAACATACCTATGTGCAGAATCTGCAATAAAATTACTGGATCGTGGATATGTTTTGGCATAACTCATACGTATATTTTTATTTGCTGTTGTTCAGTTAGGTATTATTTTAAGTCCTCTATTAGGGTTTTATTGAAGTCTGTCTGGTAATTACTACATTTGAAAATAAATATTTAGGAATGTGCATGCGCTTCTACTAGCGGAGTTTAAATGCCTGACTGGACAAAACAGGGTACTTTGGCCACGACGACCTTACTCATGACTAGCACAAACTGGGCACTTCGGTACTTAAAGGTTAAAACTGAATTATGGACATTGATGCATTATCAAGTATTTGTTACCCATTTACTAATACAGTTTCATTATAACAATATGTTTCTACTTACCTTTAAAGGATTGAGCATATTTTGGAACAACCATATCTGTCTTAATTTTTCAAACTTCCAGTTCTGTCTGTCTTCGTGCCATCTTTTCAGATACCTGATACATTTTTCTTTGTTTCCATCTGAATTCTGTATTGCTTGCATGTTTTTTGCTTTCTTTGTTTTGTGTTTCTTCTTTTTCTTTGGTTCTGATTCTTGTTCAATATCATTACTCCTTCCTCCTTCCAGCCACTTACTTTTCCTCTTTCTCTTTGAGCTGCTCTTCTCTCCCTCTTCACCAGACACTCTGTTAGAATTTGTTTCTTCTATGTGAAAGTTGCTCTGTTTGGTGTCTTCTATTATCCACTTACTTTCTTTCCTCATTTTCATACTAAGGACTACTCTAAAAAAATAAAGAGAATAAACATTATTAAGCACAAAGTTTACACTGCTGACATCCAAAGCAAAGACCATTACTTACTTACTTACTTTTGGAGCTGAGCCCTTCTTGAGGAACTGCCAAATCTGCAGCTATTCAAGAATTTCCCAGAATTTTATGGACCCTGAAGGTTCATTACCGTGTTCACAAGAGCCCTCCAGTGGTCCCTATCCTGAGCCAGATCAATCCAATCCATCCTATCTCTAAGACACTTGTCCTATATCATGTAACAATGATCTATAGAGACAAAATAAATAAATAGATCCATTTTAATATTGTCCACCCACCTACACCTTGGTCATCCCAGTTGTCTCTTTCCTGCTGGCTTTCCCACTAATATTTTGTATGCATTTCTCTTCTCCCCCTTTCATGTTACGTGTCCTGCTCACCTCATCCTCCTTCTCCTCAAGAAGGGCTCAGCTGCATAAGTAAGTAAGTAAGTATGTTTGATAACACATTTCATACTCTATTTCTTCTCATCTGGTGGGGGAGAGGGGTATTATATGACACACTTACCAGTCAGACTATATAGCATGGTGTCAAACAGGAGAATATAAGTGGAAGGCAAACTGAAAAGGATCTGGAAGGAAGCAGTCATAATCTAATCAATGTTTCATCCCAGCACTTGCCTGGGGGGACAGAGGAAAACCACAAAGAACCTCAGGATTGGTGATGGCCTGACCAAGACCCGAAGCAAGTATTTCATGAATATGAGTCTAGACTGTTACTGCTGTATCAACCTGCTCAGTTACTCCACTTCATTTCAATCTGTAATACTTATAGTTTTATTACTACAATGTTTGACCTTGCCTAAATGGATAAAATTACAGTTATTACATGCCTTGAAAATTACTGTCTTTTAGGACAAGTTGCTGTCTTATCTGGTAGACATTTACTAGCAGTTCGGGGGAATGCAATGCCTCTATCTTCTACCCTGAAGATGGAGGCCGTATGTTCCTCCAGTGGCGCCTGAAGAAGGCGGTGCTACTTTGAAGCATTTCGTCTATATTGTGAATTATATTATCAGGTATGTATTGAAAGACAGTATACATGTTACTGTTTAATTACTAAATACAATTTTGTATGGTTAAAAACAATAAGTGCAGTGGTACTAACATCAGTAGTTACTATAGGATTCTGACGATGGTGTATAACACACTGATATATTGGGTTTTTGGACTTTATCCATCGTCCTGGTTTTTAAGATAACAAATAAAAACACGACGTTTCGGACGTCTGGACTGGACGTCCAGTGATTGAGGCTAGCTCTTTCTAACGGACCCAACTGAATAGGTGTTTTCCTTCACCTGAGGACGGAAACAGATCCAGTTTCCGAAACGTCGTGTTTTTATTTGTTATCTTAAAAACCAGGACGATGGATAAAGTCCAAAAACCCAATATATCAGTACTAACATCAGTCTTCTTCAGCACAAAATGTCTTTATAGTATGGTGCCTAATTAAGCTACATAAGCTCGGTAAAATCTACGACCCACAAATAAATCCAGAATTCTGAAATAGATAACATATAGTCACCGAAACACTGTTACACATTAACATACAGAGTTTACGAGGCAACTTCAGTGGTGACATTTATTTATTTCTTTTTCAGGAGAGTTACACAAAGGCACAATGTCCACATGCATTCTGAACTATAACCTTACCACCTAGGTAGCTTATCTTTGTTTCTGTAATGATATAGTTTTCAAATGAATTAAATGCTTAAAGTGAGCTTTCTTCTAAGAACTATTTATTACTACAGTTTTAAATATGACTTATGAAATAAGAGAACGACAGAGCCGTCATATTAAAATTAAAATCCTCGAAACGTCATAACAAACACATAATACATCTCCAATCCCTCCAATGCACAAAGCACACCTCAACTACGGGTACAAACAATACATTTCCCTGAAATCGAAGACAAAATTTACCATCGAATTGGCAAACTACACGTAGAGGAAGTACGTCATGATTGGGTCATGATGAAATGAGGACAACGTTTTCTTGCGTATAACATTTGATAAGGAATTACATGTAATTTCGAAGGTTACAGAAAACTATAGCAGTGTTTTCATTGCACGTATTAAAAATATGCAGTGGAACGGTATATTCCGCACTCGGAATGTGTTACAGGGCTACCAGTGTAGGTTGCAATATTGAATTGCTGCGAAGGATGGTTTTTATGCAGGAAGGAGAGTAGTGGGATAGTAATGTATAACTGTAAAATTAACCAATAATAATCGTAAGTGTTACGTCTAATATAATAAATACAGCAACATTTTCTTTGTAAGTCATTAGTGTATGGTTTTTATAATGTTTCGGATGTATCTTACGGACGGCATTGAACACTGGGTATCAAATTCTGTGTTCAGTGTATACGCATTCTGTAGTAGAAGAAAATTTGGTTACATGAAGTTTTGGAAAGAAGTTTTCTAACAGATCACGTTAAATTAAATTTACACATGATTATGTCATACTGTGTTGTGTTTGGGATTTCGTTAAATGAAGTGTAAAGAGATTTATATTGTGAGGTGTGGTTTTTTATTTGTGTCATCATAAGTCTTCATATTTTGTCATATTCAGGTGATATATTTTCATCTATCAAAATGATGGAAGATCTGCAAGGAGCGGACATTTGCCGGGTGTGCCGCTCCGAAGGTTTACCAGACCGGCCTCTGTTTCATCCTTGCATATGCACTGGGAGTATCAAATGGATTCATCAAGAATGTTTGGTGCAATGGATGAGATACAGCCGTAAAGAATATTGTGAGCTATGTGGGCACCGCTTTTCCTTTACACCAATTTATTCACCAGACATGCCAAGGCGATTACCTCTTCGTGACGTGGCTGGAGGTTTATTGTCAAGTGTTGCTACGGCTGTCAAGTACTGGTTACATTACACACTGGTGGCATTGGCATGGCTTGGAGTTGTGCCACTTACAGCATGTAGGATTTATAGATGTCTTTTCACAGCTTCTGTTGACTCTGTAAGTAAATTAATCAGTCTGTACTGTATTTGTGTTTACAGATTTCAAGATGTTTAATATGTAGGATTGTGATTTGTAACTCATAAAAATCCACATATTGGAAATGTTATTTGCAGGTGTTTTATTTGTAATAATATGGGCACTTCATATTTGACTGAAACAGCTTTATTATATGGTAACCACATGTTTTAGTGTTTTAGCCATGGCTTAGTCGATGCAATGACGGGCTACAGGATGGACTAGCCACATGTTTTAGTGTTTTAGGCATGGCTTAGTCGATGCAATGACGGGCTACAGGATGGACAGCCAGGGTTCGATTCCCAGCAGGAGCAAGAGATTTTTCTCTGCTCCACAGCATCTAGACAAGTTCTGGGGCCCATCCAGCCTAATATCCATTGGGTATGGGGGGTTGGGGGCTGTTTCTCTGGGGCATGAAATTGACCAATCACCTCCACAGAACCTGTTTGTGATTGGTATAGTTATGTCAAAACATGGTGCATGCAAAAGATTACAGTGTCTTAACACTTTGCGGACCACGCACCTTTTAAAAGGTTTTTTGCTTTTAAACATGGCGGACCGTTTGCCTGTTAACTGGCTTTTAGAACACGATAAGTTGCAACACACTATACATCTCTCTGGCGCCACCCAAATGAATGACTACTGCATAATATTACTCCGGAATGTTTGCCTAGTAGGTAGTAACTTGACCTTGCTGTTTTGGTTCCCCCTCCAAAGGAAAATAATCTTTGACCCTTCAAGCTGTTATGTACCAGGCAGGATGTTAGTGCAATAAGAATCAAGGACAGAAGCGGTTGAAGACAAAGCGATATCTTGGAGAAAAAGAAATATCTTACTCGTTCTCCGAAGAGCTATTTGACATGCTTTGTGAGAGGAGTAGTGAAACTGAGACAGTCGCAGTGACAGGGGTCAACAAACAAGTGTAGCCACAGACAATAAAAGTGAAAGTAGCTCCGATGAAAGTGCAGGTAGTAAAATTGTGGGTACAGCCACATGGGGAAAAGTAGACAAAACGCCTACTTTGGGACAGTTTACTGGAAATCCATGGGTGAAACAAATTCCATCGGACACAACGCAAGTGTCTGAAATAGCAGAACTGCTTTTTGGAGATAGAGATACTTGTGTTGTGAATATGATTTCCACAATTCACAATTCGAGCATGGTTCATGTTCAAAGGAGACATGGACAAGTAAAGAAGCCTATTTGTATTTCTGAGTATAATATGTTCATGAAGGGAGTTGATAGAGCCGATCAATAGTTGGCCTATTATTCTCTTCCTAGATAAACAATAAAGTGGACAAAGAAAGTTGCCTTGTGACTTATAAATTGTGCCATTTTCAGTTCATTTTTGGTTCACAAAAATCTAACCCCCAATTCAAAATTGAAATACAAAGCATTTCTGATGAATGTGGCAAAGGCCTGGGCTACAGACCAGATGGTGGCGGCAGAACGAGAGTCAGACAAAGACTTAGTGGAACTGGGACCATCAACTCCCACCCCT